CGGAACCCTGCGCAGCCATTCGGCCCAACCGTGCTGCCCCCCCTTGGTCTTCTTTTCAGTCCCTAAAGCAACCAGCAGGAAACTCCAACTCTTGAGTCGGAAGCCCATGGGTTCAAGCCCCTCTCCAGAGAGTTGGGAGTCCCTCTGCCCACTCAACATGGTACAGTGGAGGTGCTGCACTGTCAGAGGTGCCATCACTCCCTAAAGGCCACTCAGGCAGACGGAAACTATCCCATTCCCCCTTCTACTGGTGGCACTGGATCAGAAGATGTAGCTGATGCTAAGTTCAAAACCATAGTGAATCTAAACTCAACTAATTTATTTCCTTTCTTCTTCCACAGGACCAGGGCAGCACTGACAAGACCAGTGTCTGTTGCCCATCCCTAATTGCTCCTTGGATTTCTCGGGCCATTTCAGAGGGTGGTTAAGAGTCATTCAACCCCCATTGCTATGGGGTCTGGAGTCACATGTAGGCCCAGACTGGGATAAAACAACAGATTTCCCCTGCCTCAAAGGGCATTAGTGAACCAGACGGGGTTTTTATAAGAATCGATGATAATTTTCACAACCTTCATCATTGAAATTAACATTCAATTCCAGATTTGATTGACTAAATGCAGGAAGGAGGTATACAGTAAATGGCACAACCCTCAAAAACATCACATACAGAGGGATCTAGGCGTACAGGCCCACAGTTCCCTGAAAGTGGTAACACAAGTGGATAAGGTGGTCAAGAAGGCATACGGCATTGAGTATAAAAATTGGCAAGTCATGTTACAGCTGTGTAGTACTTTTAGTGAGGCCACATTTGGAATATTGTGTACAGTTCTGGGTCACCACGCTACCAAAAGGAGATGGGAGCTTTGGAGAGGGTACAGAAACAGTTTACCAGGATGTTGCCTGGTTTGGAGGGCATTAACTGTGAAGAGAGATTGAGTCTAGGCCCGAAGCGTCAGCCTTCCTGCTCCTCTGATGCTGCTTGGCCTGCTGTGTTCATCCAGCTCTACACCTTGTTATCTTGGATAAACGTGATTTGTTTTCACCTGAAGGCTGAGGGGGTGACCTGATGGAAGTTTACAAAATTACGAGAGGCCCTGATAGAAAGGATGGCTTTATCCCCCCAGGGGGTAGAAATGTCAATGACATGGGGACATGGGTTGAAGGTAAAAGGGGGTAAGTTTAAAGGAGATGTGAGGTGTAAGTTTTTTACACAGAGGGTGGTAAATGCCTGGAATGTGTTGCCAGAGGAGATGGTGGAGGCAGATACGATATAGCAACAGTTCAGAGGCATCTGGACAAGATACATGAATGGGTAGGGAGTAGAGGGATACAGACTATGTGGAGACAAAAGACTTTTAGTTTTGAAATGCGTCATGTGTTGGCACAGGCTTGGTGGGCCGAAGGGCCAGTTCCTGTGCTGTACAGTTCTTTGTAAATTTAAATAGCCAAAAGCACGGGCCAAAGAGAAGGCAAGCAGGGAATCCATTAGAAAATCACAACTGAAAGTACATCTGCTTTTTAATCAATTTGCTGTTGAACCAAGACCCTCCGACTCAGGGGCGAGAGAGCGCGGGTGAGGGAGAGACTAGGTCGCCTCAGTAAATCCGTCCCTGGGAGCAGAAAAGTTGTTCTTTTCAATCTTGCAACGTGAGATACTTGCCCTGGCAATAAAAACCACTAAAGGCCTGACAGGAATCAATCAGAAACAGGAAAGGCACAGGATTTGGAGTTCCACTCTCAGATGAGTCTCTCACTCTCTCTCCCTTCGGGTGGTGGGAAGATGTTACATTCTCCTGTGACCGTGTTCATTAATGGACCCCACTCCCCACAGACCCCCGCTGACAATATTTGGTGAGTACCAGTGTTTAACTGTCATGGGAAGATTGATACCTGGGCCCAGCATCAGGCCAAAAGCCTGCATTCTAAGTTCCAGGCCTTAAGCTCTGAGGAACAGCCACTGGAAACGTAAACTCCTGATTTCTCTCCACAGATGCTGCCAGACCTCCTGAGCTTTTCCGGAAATTTCTGTCTTTGTTGTTGGCTTCAATCCTGCGTTGCCTGGAATGATTTCCGATTTCCGCTCCCCTCTGTGTGAGGGAGCGTTTCACCTTCCTCTCTCGTTTCAAAGGTTCCGCGCCAATCCCTCACCCCCAGTCTTGCCACCACCCCACCAGAGGAACCAGTCTCACCCTCTTACGGAATTCTTCAACCATCCCAGTACCCTTGGTTCCACCACCCCCTTGACTCTTCCACGCGAGAGTACGC